GCAGGATCCAGTGCCCAAGACAAGGTCGGTAGCTTTTAATGCTTTAGCTAACATGACCCCACCCAGTACTGAGCCTACAGATAAACCTATTATTGGGATGAAAGTAAATTTGTCTCGAGATGATAAAAAAGGAAATAAACTTGATCTATCTTTAGGTCTTGAAGTTAGCGGCAAGGGTACAAAAGGGTATGCAAACGCCGATGTAAAAATGAAGGATAAGACTGTTGTGGAAGCAAAATTTGAAGTAACGGCTTCTCACAACCCTAAAGCAAAGGACCTTGAGGTCAATAAGGAACTTAAGTTTGGAAGTCCGACTCAAATGACTCAGAGGTCGGGGGTGCCCGAGCCAAGTTCTAAGTGGAGTGTGACATTTAATGAGGGAATGAATTCTGTTTACGGAGAATATCAGGCAGTTAAGGAAATGGCTATTGGTGTAGGGGAGTCACTATCAAATTTTGTTAAGTCGGCGTGGAAAAGTTGGTTTAATGACTCTAAAAAAGAAAATTGATTGAAAATCTTAAAATTAATTTGTGGTTATCAAGCATTGAGTTGGGGTTTTGCAATAGCTCAATATTTTTACTTGATGTATGTGACGATTCGGGATAATCCGAATTTGCTTTTTACTATTTTTTTGTTAGTAATGATTTCTTTATTTAGTTTTTTATTTTATATTAACATTTGTATCGTTTTTGGCTTTAAAAAGGACCATGTCGTTAAGTTTTTGACTATTAATATATACGCTAACATCTTACAGAGTTTTTATGTTGTGTTTGCTGGTGTGACATTTTATTTGGAATTTGGACTTTATCTTTTATTGTTTCTAAAGATTGATGATACAACGACGATCATTTCTCCAACATATTCACTTTTTGAATCTGGGCTAGGTTTAAAATTTAACTCTGAAAATCATATCTTTTTTTTAGGCATTAATATCGTAGCCGTAGGATTGGCAATTTGGCTAAATAATATTAAGAAGAAAATAGTTCGAACAAATTTATTAATGAGAAAATTGTAAAATGAAATCGCTAGTATTCGATCCGACAAACAAGGTGTTCAGTTTTATAGGGTTGTGATATATTTAAGATGCTTTATGAAGGCCCTGCAGCAGCTTTTGCTTTACTAAAGGTAAGGATTCAATAATTGTTTGCTTAGGCATCTTGCCATAACAATACCTTTCGCTATGTGGCCGTTCGTGGTTTTAATAGTTTATCCATTCATAAAGGTCTTTCTGTAGTTCTTGCGGTCTGTTGTACATTTTTTTGCGGGAGGCAATGGCATAGAACTCCTCCAACATGGTGGGGTGGAGCTTTTCACAGAGGCCAATGCTTTGTGGATGGCGGGCCTGCATTTTGCTATGTTCAAGGCCTTCGATTTGCAGATAGCGTTCATATTCGTGAAGCTTGGGCTTGCCTTAAACATAAGTGCTCCGATCTGTCAAAATACGCATCAAGGGTTCCTGCTGGTTATCAAAGAATGGTAGTACGCGATCGTTTAGAATATCTGCCGAGGTGATAGCATGCTTGCTGACATAGAGTTTGGTAAATGCTACCCGGCTCCATGTGTCAATAAAGATCTGCTGGTAAAACCAGCCAACCCCTTTGACAGTACCGACATATTAAGTGTCTTGTGAACCAAGATATCCAGTGTGTTCTGTTTCGATTTCTCCATGGGCTTCTTTCGTTTCATTTTTGCGTTCCAGTGCAATCATTTGGGCTTTCCGTAAGGATTAACCCATCCAGAGCAACACGTGCTTCCAATGCCGTCAGGCGCTTGTCAAAAGTTTCAAGGTCGTGACGCTGCTAAATGCAATGAACGCCAGCTGCAGAGACGATGACGCCACTGTTACGAAGCTCATTACTCGCCCGAATTGACCAAAGGCTTCCTTGTCATGGGCCATTTTTACTACGGCCTCTTCAATGAAAGGGGCAATGCGATTTTTAAGAATAGACTTCTTGCGGCTGATGTCATGGAGACCAGATTCACCGCCAGTATCGAACAACTATTTGATTCTGTAGAAGCTATAACGGCTGTAGCCCATTACTTTACAGACATGTGATAAATTGCCTAGATGCTCGGCCAAACTGAGTAACCCTAGCTTGGTTTTGATTAACCTAGTTTCCTTATTCATGAGCTGACATTTTGAGGTTAATTAAGAATGTTGTTATAAGTTAAGCTCATTTGTCATTTGGACAACCTGGCAATTTACGGGAGGAACTGTGTCAGTAAACACTGACTGGTCATTGCCTTTGGCTTGTCCCTCACCAACTACAATTCCAGTGGCTGAAAGGCTGGATAAATTAGGCTTTCTATCAAAATAGACTGTAATAATCACCATTTAACCTCATCTGCCGCAAATTTCTTGACAGGCTTTGTCAAAAGCAAGGTCTGCGTCCCGCCAAACAGCCGGGCGGGACTTGCCACGGTTTTGCAAAACAATCTTTACCCCGGCTAGCCTCCTGCGGATCTTTGATGGATGGGGGTCGTGTTCTTTTTGCGAAAAATCTTGCTTTTAAAAAACCCTGTTTAAGGCCGGGTTGCTGCAATTAAAATGAACGGGAAGTATGCCGGCCTACAAAATATAAAGCAAGGTTAAGCCGTTTTTAGCCAGTTATCCCTACGCAGTATCCGCGTCAGCTAAATTCCTCATTGTGGCTTGCTTGACTTAGAGTGGACGATTTAGATCTAACGGATGTTTTGAGTTGAATGCTTTTAAGTACAATGGCCGAACTGGTAGTGTGTCCCTTAGCCATCCACTGCTGTTTTATTTCTTTGACTGCGATTAATTAAGTAACGATTCACCTAACATTTTGAGTTCCCGACCCACCTAGACACTTGCGACAGCACGTGCTGCAGGATTTGTTGGGGATTTAAAGGCAGGCCTTAAGTACTGCAGGTGTTCAAATGCGGGCGAGGCAGTACGGAGTTTCGGTCAAGAGTATATTGCCTGTGCAGCAGCTCATTTGCCGGGCAGAGTGGGACCGAAAATCCATCCGCAAGCGGACAGAAATTACCGATGATTTTGAAACTGCCAGGGAATACTTCCGACAGCTGGAAGAGCCAAGGGGAATTGCCCTGCTGGATAAGCTCCAACAAAAAATCCTTCAGTAAGCCCTGTGCTGGATTAATACCAGCTAAGACTGGCCTTTTTGGACAGTTATTCCATTTTTATTGCCAGATTATCTATAGTTAACTGGGTTTTTCTTGCGCCATATTCCATATTGCGAGTATAAAAATTAAGCGAGTATGGAAAATGTGCAGATGCTGGTTCCGATGGAACCAAAAGCCTTTTGGCAACAGTTAAAGGTAATAGTCGAGCAAGTAGTGTCAGAAAGTAAGAAGGACACACTGCCTGCCAGTAACCACAACGACAAGCCACTACTAAAAGCCGCCCAGGTATGTGAGATATTTCATATCTCCAAACCCACTATCTACGAATGGCTGAAACAGGGGAAAATCAAATCGGTAAAAATCCAGTCCCGCCGCTATTTCCACTGGAAAGACCTCGAAGAACTGATCCAGCAATCAAAAGTTAATTCCCTAAAAGCCCGCTCATGAAGTCCCCTGAACAAATGCTTTGTAAGCAGGCCAACCAGCTGGACCTGGTGGATTACCTGCAGGGGCTGGGCCACCATCCGAAGAAAATAAAGGGCAATGACTTCTGGTACCTATCTCCTTTGCGGCAAGAAAATACAGCGTCCTTTAAGGTTAACAGGAAGATGAATGCTTGGTACGATCATGGGCTGGGCAAAGGCGGCACACTGGTAGATTTTGGCCTACTCTACCACAAGTGCGCTGTAAAGGAATTGCTGGAGAAACTGGGAGACGGGCAAATTCCCAATGTTTCTTTTCACCCGCAGCCTTTGGGCCGGGCTGGTGAAAAGAAAGAAACTAATGAAAACTCTGGAAAAATTAAGATACTCAGTGCCGGGGATATTACAGATCCATTCCTGGTTGAATACCTCCATGAGAGAAAAATTCCGCTCGAAATTGCCAGCGAATACTGCCGGCAGGTTTTCTTTGATTTATACAAAAAACAGCGGGTAGCCATTGGCTTTAAAAATGAAAATGGTGGATATGAATTAAGGAGCCCGGATTTTAAGGGCAGCAGCTCACCAAAGGAGCCGAGACTTATTCAAAATAATGGAGCAAAAGAATTGCTGGTCTTTGAAGGATTTTTTAGCTTCTTATCCTATCTGGCTTTGCAGAAAGCCGAGCCAGGAAGATTCCCAGAGATGCCAAAAATGCAGGCAGATTTCCTGGTGCTGAACTCAATAGCTTTTTTTGAAAAGAGCCGGGAAAGAATGGAGCAGTACGAGCAAGTGCAGCTTTTCCTGGATAGGGATAAGATGGGTGTCAAATCCACTGAGAAAGCTTTGCAATGGTCCGACAAATACCAGGATCAAAGCCATTATTACGGACAGCATAAGGACCTGAATGATTTTCTTCAAAAGCCAGGGACACCAGAAATAAAACAACGCCGGCGAAGGGGAATGCGACTTTGAAAATTCGGGAGCCAGCTATGTTTCTCCTTCGTCGAAACTATGCTGGCGCTATTCATCCCGCTGTCGCGGGATTCATAGCGGGGACCGAAAAAATTAAAAACTGAAAGACTAGTGAAGAATGGAAACGGCAGTAAAACAGTACCAAAAAAAGAAGGGAGGAAGACCCAGGAAAGCCATCCGGATGGACCAGCAGCTGGCTGTAATGTGTACCATGGCAGAACGAAAACTGATTGAACACAAGGCTAAGAAATCAAATTGTTCGACTTCAGAATTTTTGCGTAACCTGGCTTTAAAAGGACAGGCTGTCAGGAAGACAAAAGCCCTTCCGAAGGAAGTTTTATTGTTTACTGCTACCCTAAATCACCTGGCTGCCAACCTCAACCAAATCGCCAAGAAGCGCAACCGTTTTGAGGAACTCAATGCCATCGAAAGGGTGGAGTTAAAGGCACTTTCTCAAAGGGTCAAACAGCTAGCGACAGACATCAAAACTTACTTGCAATGATTGGCAAGATCATCATTGGAAAATCCTTCCGGGGTTGCCTGAAGTACTGCCTGCATGACAAGCTCCAGCAGACAACCCAGGAAGAACAAATAATGAAGGACCGCGCGGAGATAATTTGCTTTAACCAATGTTTCGGAAACGACAAGGAACTCATCCGGCAGTTCAATGAAGTCAGGGCGCTAAACCCCAGGCTGGCAAAACCAGTTTTGCATATCACTTTAAGCCTAGCGCCGGCCGAGAAACTGCCCAACCATATTCTTTCTGAAATGGTATCGGACTGTGCTAGGGAAATGGGATTTGAGAAGAACCAGTACCTGGCTGTTTTACACAAGGATACCCTTCATCAGCACATACATATTGTGACTAACCGGATAGGGTTTGACGGGAAGACTTTGTCTGACAGTAACAATTACAAAAAGATAGCCGCGTACTGCCGGAAAATGGAGGACAAATACCAGCTGCAGGAAGTACTCAGTCCTGGCCGCTTTCTATCCAAAGAGTTAAAGAAAGTGCCCAGAATGGACGCTCGTAAGGAACAGTTAAGAAGCGATATCAAAACCTGCCTGGCCAGTTCCAGAACCTACCTGGAATTTGAACAGCAAATGATATCCCTTCGCTATGAAATTATCAAAGGCAGGGGAATTGCATTTGTGGATCCGCAGAAAGTCTATACAAAGGGTAGCGACGTTGGATATTCACTGGCAACTATTGAAAAGAATTGGAGCCGAAAGGCTGAGCTGCAAAGTATGCAAACTAGCCAGCCTGAAAGGCCTTTTTCAGACAATTCGAGAAGGGATATTCAAGAAATTAAAGAGCTAGCTGAAAACCAGGAATTGAATCTGGAAAAATCCAGGCAGTTGAAGACATTGTTATCACCATCACAACCATTTGAGGAACAGCTTAACCCAGCCTTTATGATAAAGAAAAAGCGAAGGAAACGTAAAAGGCAGCGGCTCTGAATTAAGCAGCAATTCTTTAAACCAAGAAAATGTGGAGTATGGAAAATGAACAGATTTTGACGGTACTGGCAGAAATATTAGAAGAACAAAAAGAAATGAACCGTTGTCAATTGGAAACGACGGAATTGCTCAAGACAATGTCTGCCGAATTAAATCAATGGGTCGACGACTCAACTGGCCTAAATGCCGGAGCGGCAATATTTGATAGTAAGGTATTAGAACAAGCTATCGAAAGCCTGAGAAATGACTTGAAAGTTTGGTCAGCGGCACAGCGGCTAAACAATCAGCAAAATAATCTCCGGGTGTTTATGGAATCCGATGCCAAGAAATGGGCGGTCTATCTTGTGGTAGCGCTGGTATTTTTGACATATTTATATTGGTTTTCGATAC